GAATACTAAAGTACAAGTGGGGAAAGAATCATAAGTGAAAGAATAAAAAGTTCGAGGAGATTAAGATGCGGAGACCATGTTAATGAAATCAATGTGGGGATGAATCAGAATCAGAATCAGAATCAGAACATGATCTTAGCTAGTTTTTGTTTATTAAGGTTTGATTTGTAACTATTTTTAAAACTAGAGAAGAAAAGAGTCGAATCCGACAGCTTTGAAAACTCACCGTTTCAATTATTTGTTTAGTCAGGCTGCTGACTCGGTCCTTAGTGTGTATTGTTCACTATTCAAAGCAGCTATGCGTAGAACGCAATTTCCCCCTTCTTCTATAAACTAAGCAATTATAGATAGGTGTGTAAATGAACTGAACGTTCAGCGAACCGTTCATGAACCGTGCGGCGGGAAGTTCGTTTATGTGCGTTTATTTATTAAATGAACGAACATGAACAAGATTTTGTGTTCGTTTAATTAAATGAACGAACATGAACATAGGTCTCGTTCGTTCATTTACGTTCGTGAACGCTCGGTTGTGTTCGTTTATGTTCGTTCGGTTATGTTCGTTTATGTTCATTCATTTATGTTTAACCCAATCTTCTTAAATCAATTTTGGTGACCAATTTGTAAGTATCTTAAAAATATTAATTAATCTGATATTCTGATGATCAACTCCATAATTAACCCAATTTTATTTGGAGATTAAATCCAATATGTTAACCCGTGAGGCACCTCCCACCTATATTCATTTTCCCCTTTTTTTCCCAAACCCTAGTGTTCACTGGAGAGTAGAGACGATCGCTGAAAACTTCAAAACAAGTTATATTATAGTTCAATCTGAAGTTTGACAGCTCTGTTTTCATCTCTTTCTCTGTTTTATTTGGCTTAATAGTTTATATGTAAATTTATTGCAGGTATCTTCACATCTAAAACTCAAGAAAACATTATACTTCTTTCTAGAAATAGATGGGAAGATAAATGTAACAATCAGAAGTATATGAGCATCAGTAAAGAGAAAAAATATATAGAATTTGCCAGAAAACAAAACAAATGATTCTATGCAATTTCTGAAAAAGAGTGTAATAGCGGAAGTAATGAGTTTTCCAGGAAGAACCCATTAATAAGTAGAAAATACACTTTGACAATGAACTTTTGTTTTCATAGTTCTTGTCCTTTAGTTGTGGAGTAGACTTTAGGTACGTTAAAATTTTGAATGGTGGTTTAGCAATAATATCAGTTACGATATGTAGCATCGAAGGGATTTCAGATCTATTTTATTGCCTTGTAGTCCAATTTGTACCGTTCAAAATCTTCATGCTGTTAAATTTTCTACTCTGCCAACGGAAATGACCATTATTAACAAACCTCACTAAAGTCTGACATTGATGTCACAAAACTTTTAGCCGGCAAATTTATTAGAATAATATAGTGGAAAATGATTGTTCATATGTAATTATGCACCACTAAGATAAATGTTATAGCGTTAAATTAAAGTCATGTGAATCATTTAATATCTTTCAAAGATCAATCGAAATATTTGATATCTTCAAACATTTCATTACTGTTAATAAGCTCTTACACTATTTATCACTGTAGATTTGGTTGATTTGCATTGTCGACTATTTTTCATGAAAGAATAATGGAAGGTAGGGTCTCCAACGTTTATGTCTGTGTTCATTTATGTTCGTGTTCGTTTATGTTCGTTTATTTATTAAATGAACGAACATGAACAAGTTATATTCCTTAATAAACGAACATGAAAAAAAAAATTGTTAGTTTATGTTCGTGTTCGTTTAAGTTCGTTTATTTATTAAATGAACGAACATGAACATACATCCGTTCGTATGCGTTCGATTCGTTTACAGGCCTAATTATAGATACGTGAAGTAACATTCGGGGGAGGGCCATTCATATTGAATAAATAATTAGATTTGATTATCGGGCTACTATAATAAGATTTATTTTATTATGAAAATTTTAATATATTGTCAAATGGATTCAAACAAGTAACAAGCATCATATATTAAAAAAACGAGTTTTTAAAGTATTTTCTTTATGCATTACCAGCTAATAAAAACAAGCAAATACAATTGGTTTTATTAAAATAACAAAATTTTCTATAAGGTTGTAAAATGTTCTTTTTATTATTATTAAAAAAGTATTAAAGCTCCCATAGGGTAGGGGCATGTGCTTCGATCTTGAGATGTGAGTACAATGTAAGCAATTATTTGTAAATATCACCACACTTAAATCACATGAAACTTGTATATATTTTATTTGAAATTGTTTTTTAACTTTTATATTATTTTTAATAACATCAGTTTTAAAGTTTAAATAATAATATCAAATTATAAGAGTTCACATTAAGATCCAAGAATAATATAATGACAAATTTTCAAATGGTCACTTTGATTGATTTTTTTTTTTAATTTTAGTCTAACATTTCAATTTTTTATCAAAATAATTTATATTGGATGAATATTGTTAGTTGACTAACCATTAATACATATTATTGACATTATATTTTTACTATACTCAATTAATGATGTGATATGTATCATATCACTAAAATAATAATGTGATGTGTTACATCAATTAAAATGATGAAGGAACACGTGTCAAAATACCAAATGATCAAAATGTCACATCAATAATATATGTTGATTGTTAATAAACTAATGATTTTCATCGAACATAATTTATTTTGACCAAAAATTAAAATATTTTAAAACTAATATATATCAAATTAATTATTTAAATAAATATTAAAGACTAATATTATCATTATGTCTAACAATAATAATATGTTCTTTGAACATCATCTAGTGAAAGATTGAATATCGTTTTATAAACAAATTTCAATCTTTTCTATGGTAGTACCAACTTTAGAATAATAAAAAATAATTTTAAAATTTTAAAATAAATGATATCTTATATCGTACTAGATTTAGTTATTCTCACATCAATGAACTTAAGCAAATATTTATTGACACAAATTAAAATGATCTCAGAGATAAAAGAATAATTGTTATTTCTTGAAATCTTAAGTTCTGTTAGAAAGTATAAGTGTTTAATATCAAACAATTTAAAGTTTACTTTGAATAAATACCATCTTATAGGGGTTCCCCCTAAAAGTTTCAAATTCTCATGTATTTTAAACAATAATTTTATACTTTTTTTATTGATAGATAATTTTATATTTTTTATTAATAATATATTTTATTTTCTAAAACTTTATAATTTATTCTCTTTAAAATATTATAAGTTTATTCTCGTAACGTAAAATCTTCATCCATATGTTTATAATCTCAATTTCCAATGCAGAACAAAAACAAAAGATCCGATGCAACAGTACGTGTTTCCTTTGAAGTTAGCATAGTAACAAATTGTTTATTATTGAATAAAATCCTAAACCAAATAGGAACACATTAGGACATAGTTGATGATATTCATGGACAGTGGCGCCAGGTCCCAAAATATCTTCTGAAATCAACCTAAAAGTCTGCCTGGAAGATTCATTGCAAGTGAAAAGCTTCGAGTTTGGGTATAATTTGTAAATTGAGGTAACATCATTTAGCAATTAAAACTAGACTTCGAAATTGTACTGGTGTTTGGGCCTTCAATGGGAAACTGGGTCAGCACAAAAAAGAAGGTGATCTGCAGCTTACGGATTTCTTCATATATACACAACATATTTGGACTCTTAAACAAATTGTTCACCTATGGCTATCCATCTAATCTCTGTGTCTAGCTCTTCATTGTATCAACAAAAAAATATGTTTGAGAAAGAAAATGTCATCTTTTTAATGGTAGAATCGGCTTCAAACTCCACTTGGGAGGCCATAAATTTTAATAATAAAAAAAATTCAATATCAGTGTAATATAAAGATTATTAGAGGATACTTATAACGAGGTATAGTCCGAATTGAAGATAAGATTATTAAAAGAAAAATATTTTATGAAAAATAAATTTTATCATATATAATTACAGTCTAATGTTTAATTAATTGATGTTGGATAAAAACATGTTTATGGTTATAAAATTGTTTATTTGAAGAGATTTTATAAATTTATTTATGATTTATAATAAGAGAAAATATTAGTTTTACAGAACTTGGGTGATTAAATCAGAATTTACAATTGGCTTGTACGTCATTTGTTATGAACCTGAAAGGCCTCTCTTTCCCCGTTGGTTGTTGTCATCACTCTATAGAGGCAGATGAGATGTTGAAGAACATGGAACTTATCAGATGAAGGAACATCATTGAGTATCTGAGAAAAATGTAAATTCTAATTCGTTATAGATAATGTAATCTAGAAAATTATGCAACCAAAATGGTCAGTTGGGGGGAAATGAAAGTGTTCTTTATCTGGCACATAGTGCTTGTTGTTCCCCAACACTTGACTTTGTGTCCGTATCCAACATCCAGAGGCATATTCTTTTGTGTTTATATTACACATCAACCTTTCTTTATTGTCGGCCACGTAAGTATAACATGGGAAGGAAACATCAATGTAATTTACCTGCCCCTTATCAAGTACTGTGTTTGGCCCATAAAAATAAACGCACCGCCACCTTCCTCCATCTTCCTTTACATTTCCCTAACACTTCCTCGTTTCCCTCTCTCTCGCTTCTTCCCTTTTCTTCGTCTTTATATGTAAACCTTTTTAGTACGTTTTCCTTTCTTATCGTAACTTGTAAAAGCTTGGATTCTGCTCCATCTCTGTTTAGTTAAATTTGTTTTTTGTATATCAAATTCGAATGATAAATGTATATCTAAATCTTTTTTTTCTTACATGAATCCCATGTTCTCCTTCTCTTCTTATTTCATTTCATTGAATTACGGCTGAAGCTTCTGTTCAATTTCTCGTATTTTGTTTTTGTATGTGTTCTATCTTCTTACTAAGAAACTGTTTCGCTTGCAGAATCATCTGTTTCGACATCGATGACCAATGCCTCGACTGATCCCGAGAGGAAGAAGAAGGTAACCCGATATCCGCCGAGGAGAGGGAGAGTCAAGGCTCATATTTTTGAGAGCATTGTCAAGACTGTTGCTTGTGCAGTGTCCAGGGCTAAAGAAGCAATGGCGAAAAACAAAGGTGAAAGCAGCGATGGAAAGAGCAGTTCCTCTGGAACCTCAACTTTGTATCTGAAGGAAATGTCCCGATGTCTTAGAAAACAACCAACCATCTCATGGCTCAAATGAATCACCATCATATTCTCTGGTTGAATTCCAGATCATCATCATCATTAGAAGGGAATTATCCAGAAATCCTAAAAATAAAACAAGGTTTTCTCTAAAATTATAGTAGCTAAGCTTTTGAAAACCTGTCGTTTTAGATTCAGGTGACAGCGAGTCAGTGACAGCTTCTGTGTCTGGTTTATGAACAAGGGTAACCCCACATTAACGCTTGTTTTTTTTTTCAGTTAGGGTAGGGGATATAAAATATGAACCCAAGTTTTTTTTGGTTTTAAGCTCTCTCCCCCATACTTGTTTCCTCTAGAATTTTTGATGTGGAATTATGTTATGGAGAGGTTTTAGTTGTTTGATTTGTCTTGTATGCCTGTACTTTCAGCTGTCTCGTTGTGTAGTTGATGTACTATGAATCTCATCATATTTTAATGAAGAATGCTTCGGATTTCTGTAAACCTTGAGTTCTGGATTTCATCTTTTTAGAGATGAATGTTGGAAAAGTTGTTAAAGGTTTTTGTTTTGTTTTCCTTGAGTTCTGTTTTCCAACGATTCTAACAAATCCATTGCCAAATAAAAAGAAGAAAAAAGTGAACTCAATGCTCAATTAAAAAGAGCAACTTCATGGCTTCGTCAATGCCTTGAACGAATGTTAATGTAAAAGTTGTTGCAGTGAAACTGTAAGACCCAAGTTGTAAGTTGTGAAAAATAAAGTGGCAGCCCCCTGTTTGTTGGGATGGTGTCGTGTTGGGCGTTTTCAACACAACAAAAACTAGGATTTGGTCGGTTGAGATAATGTTTCTTTAATATCAAAATATGCCAATCATTGCTTCCTTTGGGGAACATTTTTTTGTCGGACAAACTTATCTTTTTTTACAAGTTTCAAAAAAAGGGGTGAAGATGCTCTTTTTCTTTCTTTATCAGTTTGTGGAAAAGCACATAAAAAATAAGCTTTTTTTTTCCTTTCAAAATGCACTTTAAATGCTATTATAACATGAAATTTCACTTTCTTTATTCTATTCCCATGGCTAACAACTGGGCAACGAATAAACCCAAAATCCAAAATAATACTGTCGCTGGTGTGAAGAGTATGTGTTATTGTGAAATAGACCAAGGTATTGGTTATTATATGAACAAATATAAGATTTTATATTAAAATTTACATAGACGTATCATAAAACGCTATGATGATAATGCTCTATTCGATTAAGGTCCACAATTCTGGCACTGCCCTAGACACTTGTTATATATCATTGTTGGGCGTTGGCTCTTATTTGGGGCAAAACTCACGATATAATGCACTCAAAATAAATAATTCACGAAATAACGTTCTCCCAACATTATTTGCTGAAATAGGGCGAAATCAACAGTGTGGCCGTAGGTCGCCATGCCTTCCGGGCGACCTACGACGTGGCTTGCTTCTGTGCATGGGACATGCACAACCCAACCATAGGTCGCCATGCACTCCCAGCGACCTCCTAGGTCGCCATGCACGCCCGGCGACCAAGGAGGTCGCCATGCATTCGGGGCGACCAAGGATTCATGCATGGGGAGATCGTGCCATGCACTCGGGGCTCGGTTCATGCATGGGGCACTCGAGGCGACCAAGGATGACCAAGGAACGGTTCATGCATGGGGCACTCGGGGCGACCAAGGATCGGTTCATGCATGGGAAGAATGGGGAGATCGTGCATGTGTAGGTCGCCATGGAGTCCCGGCAAGGTCGCGAGCAGGCGAGCATGCAGCAGGGGATGTCGCCGCGAGTGCATGGCGACCTCCTTGGTCGCCGGGCGTGCATGGCGACCTAGGAGGTCGCTGGGAGTGCATGGCGACCTACGACCACTGTTGATTTCGCCCTATTTCAGCAAATAATATTAGGAGAACATTATTTCGTGAATTATTTATTTTGAGTGCATTATTTCGTGAGTTTACCCTTATTTGGATTCAACCCATCCCCTATTCCTGTTCCAGCAAAGTACTTATTTTGTTCCGTATGAGCTGACCTTTTTTCTTTTCAATTTATTCTTTCTGCTTATGGTATCCGAAGATGACTAATTAAGTTTGGCAGGTCCATGATCTGTGGTGCATGGTCGGTCTGCAATATTTATGTGCACTCTTCAAAGGGTTGAAAAATGATTGAAAAATGATTTTTTTTCCTTGAAAAAGAGTTTCCATTACTCTTATAGTATAAGAAATCCGCTTCAAACTCAACGAAACTTTGTTGATCCAAATCTTATCTACTTACCACTTTCTAATTCCCACAGCTGCCGGTAGTTTCGTTGCTTTGACTCATTAGGTCTCGCTGCAGATTCCTTTGCATCCACTACCACACATTCATTCCAATATTTAGAGAGAAAAAAAAAAGCTATTTTTTATATAAAAAAATAGAATTATATTATCTATCAAAAATATGTTTTACCGGTATTTAAATAAAAAAATATCTATGAAACAAGTTCAAAAACGAATTTATAATTCACTCCAACTTATAATTTGAATTTATATGTTTAAGCTGACAAAATGATGTTATATCGAACTTGAGTTGAGCGTAGTATTAAATTACAATCGTAATACAATATAACGATCACACCGTAATATTTTTTTAAAATCACCGCGACATCACATCATAATATAAGATCGTAGTTATTATTATTTTTTGATAAGTTAAAGATGATTACAAAATAATACATGTTCTAAATACTCTCTATCATTTGATTATGAACGTTCAATCACCCTTATAGTCGTTGATGCTCAAACTCGTGACCTCTAGAAACAATAATAATTACTTTAACCATTGAAGTAAATTGGTTAGTGTAAATCATAGTTATTTTTAAAAAATAAATCACATGGTAATGTTTATAACACCCGATACCGCAATCATAATTTAATAATATTTTCACTGTCAAGTCCTAAATTTAGAATTGCATCCGAGCTTAAAGCTTGCCATAATTTGAATTATACTCGGTTGAATTACACCCAACCTTCAGCTAGCCTCTTGGGCTAGGGTTTCTTTTGGGGACTGAACAATTCATGTTAGGGCTTTGATCAATTATTGGGTTATGATTGGTTAGCTCTCAGTTCTTTTGGGTTTGTCCATATTTACACCAAAACTCAAAACATTAGGTTAAAATATGCTACAAGTTTTTATAGAATTTAGTCACTACTTTTATTTTTCAAGAATTCAATTCATATTTTTTATATTTAAAAATAAAAATCCAAGTGTTAACATCCTTAAAACTTTTCTGTTAAATTTAGACTTAAAAGATACATAAAGTCATCAAACTTTTTTTTTTAAAAAAAAGCCCTTTAACTTTTTCTGTTAATTTAAAATTATTTCAAGTTTTTATTTTGTACAAGTCATGATTTTTTTAATTAATATGACTTAAATATCGTTTTTTATTTTTTTTATATGTATTTAAAATTAAAAAAAATAAATTACACAATTTTTAATTAATTTGTTATGTCTTAATTTTCATCTTTGTCAGGGTTACCTTTGTCCTAAATGGTGTTAGAGTTAACCGTCCTTCGTTTGGTCTTATAAAAGCAATTCAAGAGCTTTTATGACGGCTTACAACGTCGTTTTATTTTCTCAGTACTTTATACTTGGAGATAATGAGGCTAAAACAAAATATTTTTGGTTAAAACTTATATCAATGAATATTCGAGGAATGAAAATGAGGAAGAAGAATAACTTTTTATAAAGTAATAGCTAAGAAAGAAAGGAGATAAAATATAGAAAGAAGAGTTCTGAGTGAAAGTGTTCAGATTTTAGAATTGCTTATGAACTATGGTACTACTGTGACATAGTACAAAGGGTTATTTTCCTGGGAACCAAACGAAATACTTCCACTCGTCAAGTTGAGTCGTTTTTCTTGGAACTTTCCCGAGTGAATGAGAACAAAAGTCTTAGTCCACTTCAGTGACGAAGACTTTTTTCATCCCTTGATTGGTCCACATTCCATTCACTGTTTCATTGAGCTTTCACAACATTCAAATTTCAAAGTTACAAAACCCACAATCAAAAGCAAACCTCAAATGGCCCCTTTCTGCTCTCTTACTTTTCTTCTTCCATAAAAGCACACCCTTCCCCCCTCTCTTTTCCCCCATTGTTTTTTCTTTGAGGGGAAGTGACACAAAAAGAAGATTGAGAAGGAAGAAATGGCGATTGATTTCAGAGGAACCCCAACATGCCATGGCAGATATGTCCGTTACAACATCTTAGGTAACATCTTCGAAGTTTCTTCCAAGTATGCTCCTCCTATTCACCCAGTTGGTCGCGGCGCTTACGGCATCGTTTGGTAATTTCCTGCTTTTTCAGAGCAGAACTTTGCGTTTTTATTTTCTTTTCCGGTTTGGGTTTTCGTTACTTTAGTGTCTAAAGCTGTAGATTCACCCAACTGGTTGAGTTCTTGGGTTATTTTTTATTCTTCATTGTAGGGATTTCGGTGCTAAGCAGAAGCTCTAATTAAAAGTGTAGAAAACGGAACCTTTTAGAGAAATTTTAGAGATGTAACCAGAAATGAGATATGGGTTTGTTCCGAACAATTGAAATACTTTAGGGATTGATTGTTTATGGGGTTCAATAAATTTGGATTTTTTGATAATTGCAGCTGTGCCACAAATTCTGAGACAAAGGAAGAGGTTGCAATAAAAAAGATTGGGAATGCATTTGACAATAGCATTGATGCTAAAAGAACACTCCGCGAGATCAAGCTCCTCTGTCACATGGATCATGATAATGTGATCTCTACATTCATAATTTGTTTGCTTTTTCATTTTCTTGTTATACTATGAAGTATGGAGGAGATATGAAGGGTTGCGTTAATACTTTTGCAGATTATCAAAATCAAGGACATAATTACGCCACCGGAAAAGTAAAAGTTCAACGATGTTTACATTGCATATGAGCTAATGGACACTGATCTGCATCAAATAATACGGTCTAGCCAGTCTCTCACTGATGATCACTGTCAGGTGATAGACTTATCATGTTACCACACAACACCGATGCTAGTTTAATATAATTGTGTACTTGAAGTTAGGGTGTGAATTCATATTTGTAGAAGCTATGTTGTTTTGCAGTATTTCCTATATCAACTGCTACGGGGCCTGAAGTACATACACTCGGCAAATGTTTTGCACCGGGACCTAAAGCCTAGCAACCTGCTTCTCAATGCAAACTGTGATCTTAAAATTTGTGACTTTGGTCTTGCAAGAACCACCTCTGAGACAGACTTATGACCGAGTATGTCGTAACCAGATGGTGTAGAGGCCCTGAGTTGCTTCTCAATTGTTCGGAGTATACTGCTGCTATTGATATCTGGTCAGTTGGCTGTATTTTAATGAAAATAATTAGAAGGGAGCCACTTTTTTCTGGTAAAGATTATGTTCAGCAGTTGGGGCTTATTACTCAGGTATTCATCCTTTCATTTTCGTTCAAACTCAGAACCCATTGCTTCAGTTTAGTAGGAGAGCACTGAATGTTGGTAGATTCCTTTGTTGATTACTTCGTAAAACAGCTACTAGGGTCGCCAGAAGATTCAGATCTCGGATTCCTTAGGAGCGACAATGCTCAAAAGTATGTTAAGCAGCTTCCTTGTTTCCCTAAGCAGCCTTTTGCAGTAAAGTTTCCAAATTTGTCTCCTGTGGCAATCGATCTTGCTGAAAAAATGCTTGTTTTCGATCCAAGCAAGTGCATCACTGGTAAATTCAGGCAATAGGATTTACAATGGTTGTGCATTTTTCACATTTTCTTTTGTCATTTTTCTTATAAGAAACATCTCTTTTATATGATGCATGTAAAGTCGATGAAGCACTGAATCACCCATATTTGTCAAGTCTTCATGAGATAAATGAAGAGCCCACCTGTGCATCGCCTTTCATCTTCGATTTCGAGCAGATGACCTTGAACGAAGAAGATATTAAAGAGCTGATATGGAGGGAGTCTTTGAACTTCAACCAAGAAGATATCAAAGAGAGTCCCCACTTGTGTGCGGGATTGATGTGATTGGGGTGTGTTCAGCCTGGTAGTGTTCTAGTGCCTGTTGGTGCTAGTTTCTGTGCTATTTCAGCAGGCTTGCCGAGAAGTTTGATGGCAAGGATTCATAGTGTTTGGCTTTCATAGCACACAGCGAGCTTTGCTCTGAATCTCGTCTTAATATTTTGTGGTGTGTGGCAAGTTCCCCTCTCTGATTCTGCAGAAGGTCTACCATTGGGGCTGGATGTTCTTTATTCAATTGGTCTTGTGATTTTTCTTAGTTGGGGCTGTTTGTTCGTCTAGCTATAGTGGTAAGTTTTAGTTGGAATTTCATCGTTGGGTTTGGTTTTTATTCGGTGATTTGGTGCAGGTCCCATATTGGTCTCCTGGTTTGGTTTGTCTTTGTCAAGAATACTCTTTTTCCTTCATTTTAGGATTAAGGAGGTTTTTTAACGAGGTTCTTGTCAAAGTAATGTACCCCTTATTTTGATCTTAATCAAATAAGTTTTTACTTTTCAAAAAAAATCTTATAATTAAATGATTATGTGTGTAATACGTTTTTAAATATGATTTATTAAATTTACGAAAGAACTTATTTAGTACTATCTTGTTTCTGCACATAAACAAGCATCTGTAACTTTGTCCACAGCAGTTCTTTGTTCGATTGATTTGCTTGATCTGTAATATTATGTAAATGATAATTATTATTTTATGTGAATATAAACATTTAAATAACATATATCTTCTTTAAAATTTTAGTATAGTGGCAGTGGAGTGGAAGAGGATACCGAGTTTAAAATTTCTCCTTCATATATATAAACTTTAAGTTTTTCCGAGTTTAAGTTGAATTCAACGATACTTGAATTCGACTCATCTCATTTACGACTCTATATATGCTCCACAATACTTGACTGTCTCATTTACAACTCTATACGAAACATATATGAATCACAGGAGACCTCAATGGACGCAACATGGCCTTAAGCAAAACACCACTGAGAGTTGCACTCATTAAACTGCCGAAACCACTAAGAGCAGCTTTATATTTAAGGGACACCTGGAAATCAAATTATGTGCACAAGGCAGCACAGACATTAGGACCTCCACTCCACCTGTCGGTACTAAACCACTCTCCTGCAATTGTAATGTATGTGCCTCTGTTTACCGACATTAGTATATCCTCCACATTAATAAAATGGCAGATTTTTTTTTCAGTCTGCCGATCGAAGCTGATGGAAACTTCCATGTAAGGCTTGGCATATTGATAGGTCACGCCAAAGAGTGGTCAGTAGGTCTACAATGGTGAAGCTATACATTACTATGGCAAGTTTTTCATAGGACACTCAGTCACATATAAGCTGATCCATGCCGAAGCCGACCAACCTCGGTTGCAATGGGAGGTCGTGCTATTCTTTTAACCAGATAGATAAAGCTGAGAATCCCGAAAGCTGAACCTGCAATTTGCTATTTCAGTAGGTATTTCATCAAACCCAACATTTCAATATCAAAAGCAACATCAGATATATTATAATTTGTAAAATGAATTAAGATTATTAACTTTGTTACTCTACATTCAAATAATTGTTACTTAAAGTAACATGTAATATGCTTTCGTTACATAAGGTCCATTTTAAATTTTTGCTAAAGACTCCCAATGATGAGATTAATTCCCAGAAAACCATTCCAAGCTTGCATGGAAGATTAGTTTCAAGTGAGCGGTGATTATGTTGCGAAAATCATAGTTAATTAAGTTGATGAAACTGAGATTTCGAGTAAAATAATTTACCTTTTTGCAGTTCCACATTAAACATTTTATTAATTTTAAATGGCTTGACTTATATACTAATTCAGAGCACTTTAAAAGGCATTAAAAGCAACCCTGGCTCAGCAGGCACCACTCATTCAGTAATTAAAGCCTGAATCTTCATTAATTATAAGGTACTGTTTTCTTTTCCCGTTTCTCTTTGTTATCTTCCCTGGTAATCCAGGGATAATCACCTCGGAAAGCGGCTCATTCATTCAAAAAGAAAAGAAACTACTGCCAACTCAACTATAGAACAAAATCATTTTTTCAGTTAAGTTCAACTGAACTCAAAAGGAGTGTTTTAGGGTTTTCTGAGCCCCCTGAAACTCAAAAGAAGATGCCCACTTATTACCAAAGTACAGTAGCTAAACTCAAGTTCTAATAGTAAATTTTTTTCTTCTGTTATTTACTTTTTTTAATCAACAGAACTCTATAATCAGTTATTCATTGTGAAAAACTACTTTTTATCAGACAAAAAGGGAAAGCAAATAGAGGATCTAATTTCATTTTAGCCATAAAAATATTTATAATTGTGTATGCGTATTGTTTTTCCTAGGTTGATTACTAAACATCTATAAGCTTCTTCTTCAAACTCAAGTATTCAACTATACTGTATATGTTGGGAAATAAAACGAGAACGAGTAATTTCCCTATAACCAGATCAGTAAGAATGCGAAATAAAAGCGGAAAAATAATACCCGAAATTGATAACGGAGTTCAGCCAATTATGCATACGTCTCCGGACTACTGCAGATCTTTTACTAAAAGGAGAAAATTTACTGGAGTTTACAAAAACACTTGAGAGTGAGCTAGAATGATTTGGGGATTTAGAATGATTTTGAAACTAAATGGGTTAGGGTATTTATAGTTGAAGCTTAAGGATTAATCTTGTAAATACCCTAAAGTGTGCAGAGATTAAAATATAATTAACCCTATTATATTTCAACAAGTGCTGTCCATTTTTCAACAAAAAAATTAGGCAGCCCACCATGGACCAAATTTAGCCGCCGGTTGCTTGCTTTGAATTTCAACAATCTCCCACTTGAAGACTGATTTTAATCTGTCTTCACACCTCGATCAATGCAACAACATTTCTGGTCTTGTTACTGTAGCATGCCAACTGAAGCTGAACACACTTCAGTTTGTCTATAGTCACCGCCCTGTAAACCCACTTGTTCTTGGGCAGTTTCTCTGTGTTTGCCTTGTCCCTCAACGTCTTGGCTCCCTTCGACTCTTGTTCACTAGTCTTTGAAGGATTGTTCCTCACTTGAACATCCTCGGCAAGCCCTTGCTTCGACCCTTCTCTTATGATGGTCTCTGAAGCCATGTTCTCTACACGAACATGCTCGGCAAACTCCTCTTGCACTTGGAAGAAATGAACCGTATTGAGTCAACTCTCAACGCCCCTTCGATCCTAGGTTCGTCCTCTTCTTTGGACAACTCGATCATGGGCTCATCCATCACCTTGGATGACTCGGCTCCCCTCGGGTAATTTTGCAATACTTATGGCATCTTAAGTCTGTGCCCTCGTTTGCTCGACTCTTACCCTCGACTTAGCATCTTTGACACTCGAACTTGTGTCAAGACTGCACCATCTTCCCCAGACTCACCATCTGGTTCATCATAGAGTGGATTTTCTCTGCCACTCGAGGAACAACATTCTTCATCCTCTGACTTGCCTTCATTACTGAATCTCTTGCCGCTACCCTCGGCTTTCGGCTTTGTTTAGGTAGTCTTGTTTTTCTTGACTCCAAATTCTTTGATGGACTCAACGGTTGTCAAGGCTTTAGACAACTCCTTGACTTCCCTTCGTTCCAACACTCTCTTCGCCTATGGCTTCAATCTAAACATGAAGGTGAAGAACCCATCTTCATCAGTCAAACTTGGGACTTTGAGCATGAGTTTCTGAATCGGCTCACATACTCCTTAAGTGTCCCCTTATGCCTGAGATGCCTCAACTTGGACCACACCTTCATCCTGGCATACTGTGAGCGGACTTGCTCACTTTGCACATTCGACTTGACGGCTTTATCTCTTGCTATCGTACCGGGTCCTTCTTGTGCTCGACTGCTTTGACACCGCAGTCTCGTCACATTTCGATCCTTGCTTGGCAGCATTGATCCCCTCAATCGGACCAAGCCTTTTTCCTGGCTTGGCAGCTTTAACACTTGCAACCGCCCAATTCATGCTACTTATCCCATCCTCTTCATGATGGTTGTAAGGCGACGCTTCTCGGGACATCCTCCAATCAAATGAGGACCATCACAGAAGTACACTTTAGCTTTTCTTTACTCCCCTTCTTGTTCACACCGGACTTAGCCTTGTCATTCTTTCCCGATGGCTTTCCTTGGCTACGAACAATCGCTGGCTCAACTTGGCCACTCGAAGAGCTTTCTCTACCATCACTACTTGGCTTGAAATCTGCAAGATTAGTCAGCGTTCCGACTACCGCTATGGCTTCGAAAGTCTCTGGGCATCACCTTGCTCTTCCCCGAGCATTGCCCCTGGTCTAAGTCCTTCCAATAAGGTATTGAGCACACCATCCAACTTCTCAATTTTCACATTCCCTTCGTCTGCAGCTGTCGTTCCTACTCGAATCTGGCTTCTTTTGGATCGTTTCTGACAATTTTCGCGAACCACAGTGTATTAGAACACCTCTGTCGATAAACTCGTATCGCCGACCAAATTTCACTATTCACAAAATTCACTATTCATGTTAATAGTATCTTCACAGAAAAATTGACAGAATTCACAACCAAAAGCTCATGATACCAGTTGTTGGTAAATAAAACGAGAACGAGTAATTTCCCTATAATCAGATTAGTGTGAATGCAAAATAAAAGCGAAAAAATAATACTTGAAATTGATAACGGAGTTAACTAATTATACCTACGTCTCCGGACTGCTGCAGATCTTTTACTAAAGGGATAAAATTTACAATCGTTTACAAAAACACTTGAGAGAGAGCTAGAATGATTTGGGGATCTGGATTTGGGATGATTTTGAAGCTAAATGGGTTAGGATATTTATAGTTGAAGCTTAAGGACTAATCTTGTAAATATCCTAAAGTGTATAAGGACTAAAATGTAATTAACCCTATTAAATTTCAACAATTAATGCCCATTTTCAACAAAAAATTAGGCAGCCCACCATGGACCAAATTTAGCCTCCGGCTGCTTTTGAATTGGTGGCCGCTTGCTTTGAATTTCAACATATATACTGATATACTGATATAACATCTAACTTCAGTTTAGCCATAAAAATATTTATGATTGTATATTTATATCCTTTTGTATTATTATTTTTTTTAAATAATTTTACATTTATAACACATATTCCTTAGTTTTATGACACAGTTTCGGTATTCTTTATCGATTATTTGGTTATTCTTTTTCTTTTAAGGTTAGATTTGATGAGGTGTTGACTGATAAAAATAACGTTTATTTTTGTTATCTTGTTAATCTTCCCTGTTTTGACCATCAAATTGGATTTAGATATGCAATTGTGTTCGTTGATAGTTTTATTATATAATTCGACTCTGATTTGTGACTTGTTGGTGGTCTTTCAATAGTTTTGATCCTTTAATAGTTCGTTTATCGATACAATCAGATATATTTGTATTTATCTTTGTTCGATTTTTTTTGTTATTTTTTAATCTTTTTCTTATATAATTCATGTATGAACTCAATTGACTAATTTTTCAATCAATGATTATAAGAAAATATCACAATTATCTGTTTGATTTACGATTATGATTATAAATATTTATTGTAATTATAAGTATTTCCTCTTTATAATAAAATTAACTAATTTTATTTAAAAAAAATGTAAACGTGCTTGAATGAATGGGTGACTAACAAAAGAGGTTTGGAGTGACAGAGAGAAAGCAAAACATCGAGATCCCGGCATTGCTGATGGCTTAGATGACGATAATATTGTTACTTTTGGGGGGAACAAGGCCCACAAGATCAGACAACCTTATTTAATGCCTTACTATTCCACATTCTGCTATTGTCTGCACTGCCTTATCCTCCTCATCCATGTAATGATGTCCATGCACGAACGCTCACATAACGATAACCAAAATGTCAATTAGTATTATACCAAATAATTTTGTTAAATTCAATCCATTTGATTTTTATGATTGATATTTAAAATTTCTGATTATTATTTCTAGAAAATATTGTTTTTAAGATTAAATTTTATTTTTTATTTAATAATATATTTATTCATGAATTAGATATTATAAGATAGAAATCATAATTAAATTATTTGTTAATATCGATCAAATCAACATAAACCATAGATGAACATAAGAAAAATAGTGGATAAGAAAATATGCATGCAAGGTGATATGCTGTCGGACGTAAGTTTATTTTAGGTGGAAGCATGTACATTTTGAAATTCAAATTTATTTATATTAATTATTTATTTTATTGATGGTGTATATCTTTAAATTTTACTCATATATGCCTCATACAAAAATTTATATTATTAATACATGTGTCCACCTGAAAAATATTTATGGATCCGCTAATATCTTTACTCATATAGTTAATATAACATTTTCATCATGGGTTAAATTAAAAAAATTTACATTTTCATCATTTTCATGTGCTTAAAATCGGATCCAATTCTTGTAAGTTATAACGTATTTGTACAAAAAGAATTAAAATTTATTCACAAAAATCACGACTTCAATTTACAAGACATTCAAAATAATTTTTTTGGTAGAAGGTTGTAAGTTCAATTTCCAAAATTTTAAAATATTAGTAAACATCAAGTTAACATAATAATCAAAATAGATTGAAACTAATAGTTTGAGGGCTGATATATAATATCTTTTTGGTTAAAGATCAATTTAGAATGAGATAATAATTTAAGGACTGGTATGAAATATTTTAAAATTTAAAGGTTAATTTAAAAATGTGTTATATAAGTATAACATAAACTGCTGGACATATTGGGTCAAGTCCACCCATAATGGGTGGAACCCAATCCATTGGTTCAAGGCAAATTTATATGTTTTTTTTTATAATCATAACTACAAAATGGTAGTTAACAAAATGATAAAAAAATAATATGAAAACTGCTATTAGCAGTTGATTTTTTTCCAGTGAGGACAAATAAGAATCCACTTTGGACAAGAACCAAATGATTTCGGTAGTTAAGAGATTTGTTGTTATCTTTTGAGATCATGAGTTCGAACGCTACATATGCAAGGTACGAGCGTTTAATGTCAAAAAATTAAGAATTGTTGAATAAATACCTTATATTCACCCCAAAATTTATATATAATGCACTTTGGCCATCTGGATAGTAAAGGAAAATCGGCAATTCGCAAAATGGAATTGCATTTGACCATTTGTAAAACACATCAACGAAGAAGTTAGATTGGGAAAAAATGGACAATTATTTATATATAGTTTAGGGTGTGATTAATGAATTATGATTGAATTCGAATTAAATATTTTATAAATTTAATTTTACATTTATAATGATTATATTTAAAGATTATTATACGTGATTATCAATATAAGCAATAGATATTTTTTAATATTATATATAATATTAGTCCATTCATTCTAAAATATTATGATACCCGTTTGAATTGAATGTATGTAATTAAATTCCTAGAATTTACTCGTTTACCAACTTTCCAAGTCGTGAGACCCACTTGTCTTATCGGCTTGAATTGGGTGTCGTAGTTGTTCAGATGTTTTTAACATTATTTTATAGCAGACAAAAGCAGTAGTGCAGTACTAGTAGTTTTATGAATGCTATAGCAGCCAGATAGGGTGGCCAATCCATTATAACGTCAGACCAAAGGGTGGTTAATAAACGGCTGAGATTGAATATTAGCAGATAGATAAGGCCATGCCAAAAGCAAAGCAGTCTGCATGCATTTATGGGTTTTTCAAAGGCCTACGTTTTCTTTACCGTGAAACCAATCTGCTTGAGAAACCCTAACGGCTTTGGGGTTAAATAATTTGGTATTACCAACTTCTGCCAGCCTTGTATGTTAACAGTGTTATTGGGAAACCAGGAATGCTATTATGCTAATGATAAATGATTCCACCAACAGTTTTCGGAAGTCTATAATTAGAGCAGTCAAGCACAATGTGAAACAAAATCGAGAGTTCGAATTTTATCGTTTACAAATATAATAAATTAAATTGAAAAAATCATTCTTATATTTAACTTTGTAATACCAAATTTATATTAATAAATTAAATATGGAGAGTTATAGCAAACAAATAAATTAAGAATGGGTTGATGAAAGAGTTGGGTAATGGCACAGAGACATCATCTTTTATGGAATGCCAATTTGTCTTTTTCTTTACTGGTTTTTCCATTTAAATAGCCTCAAGTTTTGTTAAATACAGCCTCGCATTCCAACGATAGAAAACCTTTCTCAATCACTATCTTCTAACTAATAATAATGATTAATTTTATTAAAATAAATATTAAAATTCATGAGAAAATCATTATATTATATTTTTAAATGGATAACCGAATTATATTTTGAATAGTTTAAGATGATTAAGGTGGTATATGTTCAACAATTTGTATAGTTACAGACAATACATATACGCCTAACTGCTTAAATTCAAATATTTTAAGAAAAACACCATTCCCTTTCACCATGGAGATCATTTATTGAGTTAAATAAACTAATAATTGAATAATAAAATAGGATCATAAAATTAGAATTATTTTTTTAAAAAAAAAGTATAGATACAAACATCATTGAGAGCAATAAAAATTAAACAACATCAATACTAACATAAAAATGAATATAACAACGGTGATAACTGACACATTGATAAACTGACACAACACAATCGTGACATCTCGTTGATGATAATGAGCTTCTATCAATATAAAATAATTAAATTGATGATTAGAAAATAATGATAGAACAATAAAATAACTAATTAAACATTAAGGAAAGAGACTATCGTATCTAACTTTGAAAACAAATAAAAAAAATTATGTTACAATAACAAAAAAACATGCTACAGTTTTAGAAAACAACTATTACTTTATTAAAAAATAAAAATATTTAATAACACAAAGTATCAAATAAAAAAAAATTAATCAACGAAAAAGAGAATCTAGAAAGAATATAACAAGGTTTCTATCATAATTTAGGGGCTGGGGCAGTTTAGCCACAGTATCACTCTAATCAACTTGAAATGAATTAAACTTTAAACCATAGGACCAAGATGAAATTTACCCATGATTACTATCATACTCCTCGTTTGAAGGATACATAACATAGACTGCTATATAGATTCTGCTGACGTCAAGTTTAAATAAGGGGTACCCACTTGTAAGACGTGTTTTTATATGGATAGCCCCACCTTCCTAATAGAATAATAAATATAAATAAACCAAAGAGTGCCTACATTAACTAAGGTGTTCCTATAGCCAGGTACCCTTGGAACCTCCATCAACATAACTGATCAAACTCAATAAAGTGTAATCTTCCATTGACAAAGCGAGCCTCTTTTAGTTCAACTGTGTATAAGTTGCTAGCACTGAGGACTTCATTTTTTTATAAAGTTTTTAAAATATAATATCAAAGTTTAAAAAATTAATACATAATATTCTTTTAAATAAATATTGATAATATTTTTAGAATAATGTTTTTAAATATAAAAGACAATATTTTTAAAACGGATAAGATATTAGTAGAGTTTTATAATTTGATGATTAAATTGATTATTTACTCAAATATTAATGCAAAAGGAGGCAGTACTTGCAGGGTGCAATCATGGTGGGGTGAAGTACCTCATGCTCAAGTATGCAAAGGCAGTTGCTACAGCGGATCTATATTGAAATTTACTATGGTGTTGTCTCCGACCAAAATCATTAAAATTTTGCTATTGCCTACTTCATCCATATTAATCATTCTAACTTCTCTCTTTCGTTGCAATAGTTATGATTTTTGCTGTTTTCATACGTGAAATTAATTTATTACATCGACAGTGATAATAAACACGACGATATTAAAAAAATGCTTTCATTTTCACTATTTTTTTGTTAAGCTTAGCTGTGCTTAGTATCGGAAAGCAACCAACACTAGAATCACAGGAAGCTGGTGTATATTGACACCCCAACAGATTTTAAAATTCTTTTTTACCCTATAAATTATATATATATATATATATATATATATATAAGGAAAAAAGATGACACGCCTTTAAGAAAGATTTTGACACCCTTTGAAAAAGAAATTGACTCTATATTTAAAAAAAAATTAACAATAAAAAATTTAAAACTAAATTTTTCCATTTGAAAAAAAATATTCATATAATTTTTAAATTTTATACGAATTAAATTTGCTAGTTCTGCACTGACTTGAATTCCCCTTAGCAGTGAAACATCAGCGTGACAACTAGCGCCTTTTACTTTTGCCAATCTATTAAACCGATCTTTCTTTTGCTGTCCCCCCTTCTGTCTTGCCTTTAATTCCTCTAACTTTGCCTATGTGCATCTTGTCTATTTATACATGTATTTTGAAACCTTTTTCAAAGAGAGAAAGATTCTAGGTGCATCCTGTTTTGTTTTTCGTATAATGTCTCCAGCAGGGTCTACTAGGTGGTGTCCAACACCACAGCAACTTATGATGTTGGAAGAGATGTATCGGAGTGGGATTAGAACCCCAAATGCCTCTCAAATCCAACAAATCACTTCTCAGCTCTCTTCGTATGGCAGGATCGAAGGCAAGAATGTTTTTTATTGGTTCCAAAACCATAAGGCAAGAGACAGACAAAAGCTTAGAAAGAAACTTGCCAGGCAACTACAACATCGTCAACTTCTTCACTACTTGGATTCTCCTGCTGCCTCCCCTGCTTTCGACATATTTTTCCTCAGGTAACAGAAAAGAAAATGGAAAGTGTACTCTTGTTTTGTATGTTTTACTCTGAGATATTAAAATTAGGGTTCCTTTGGGAAAAAATATTAATATCCGAAGTTCAGATGTGCATGCATGCATGCATGTGCTTGATTTTGTTCTTTTAGTCTGCTTACTGTTCTTAGCTTTTAATTTTAATTTTAATGGACAACTTTGTTTCGGGACCTTCTTCCACACTGCTTATTCTTTAGTGTGATCAATTTTCAGCTTTTATTCATTGATAATTCTTCTCTTTTATTGTTTTTTTTTCTTCTCTCGGGTAATTGGTTTGGTTGCAGGCAGGGATTCATGATGAAGCAGCAAAGCAAGTGATGAACTATCCGTGGAAATTTTGTATCCCAGAAAGAGTGGGCAAGAATAAGGGCATTATGAGAATGTACGGGAGTGATTGGTTGATGATGGTTGATGCGTGTCCTCCTTTATCATCATCGTCCTCACCACCACCGCCGCCATGCTACCCCATGATCTCCAGTCCACCTCTTAAAACCCTTGAACTTTTCCCACTCACTGCTTCAAATCTCAAGGAAGAGTGCAACGACAACGTCAACAGCACCGACTCCTCCATTTCACTTTCTTCAGTTTCTTGTAACATCAAACCGGCTAAGATACCCCTAAGCCTCCCTTAATCTCACCCTCCAAATAATTTAATAAGTCTGCTTCCTGGGTTCTAACCAGGTTTTAGCATATTTCATTTTTAGATGAAATTTCGGTCAAATTTGTTTGTTTAATGCATGTGTGGCAGGTTTTATGGTGTTAGAACGACAAAAGATTAAAGTTTGTGCGGGAGTAAAGTTACAGCTAGTACTGCTCCTTGCTCACTGTTACTTATGTGTTATGACCTATTAATAACAGCACTCTATATTTTGTCCATTTTCCGGTTCCAATTCCAAATCATTATCAGAATTCCAGAAATTTTTTTTTTGTTTCGATGTTTCTTTACATTGTTTTTCAGCTCTTTGTTTCCGCCCGTCTTTAATGCTTGCATGATAAATAATATCGAGCAGAAATAGATTAATAAGATTTATTATTATAATAATTATATCTTATTTAATATAATTAAATATTAAAATATAGAATATTTTTTTTCTATACTATTGAGCATTCAATCTACATTGTTTTACTACTCTAATGACTGCATGTATATTGCACGTTGAAATTAGATAAAGATTTAAGCTATTAAATTTAAATTCAATTGGTAAGAAAGAAAATAGGAAGGAAGCTACGAGGGGGAAAAATATGGAGAAAGTACGCGAGGACATTACAATAATAGCAAAAGGTTGAGAAGAGCATAACAGATTAATGGAATATTTCCGCTTTTAGGGACAAAAAGAAATAACTTCAGCCGATATAATTTAATTACTATATAAGAGGTATAAGCAAATTAATCCAAATAAAAAAAAAAAAATATAAGCAATGCATGCAATAATAGTTAAAATATCAATTTAATGTGAAGCTCAAATTTTAAAAATAGGTCCCTCGCCAACATTGCATTAAAATCTTATGCCAAACTTTATAGATTTCATCGGTAGTGTCATTTTCCTTAATAATAATGATAAATATTTTAATAATTATTAAATTAAATGGCATGATAAATTACAATTCAATGTTTCGATTGACATAAATGAATCAAAAGAATTTGGATACGGTTATACTCTTTGAAAAAATTAAATCTATACAGAGTTTAAGTAATATCTTATATTTTTTTATTAATAACCTAATTTCATACTTCTAAAATTTTAATATAATTTAAAAAATTCGTATTCACAAGTTCTTGTATTTGTCTGTATTGCTTGATATATGTACATATTTAATCGAAAAAAGTTATTAAAATATTTAGTTTTATTATAAAATATTTATATTAATACAGTTATTATTCTATATAATGAAAGAACAAACAGTGACATCTTTTTATTTATTTATTTTTTATTTCTAATAATTTGTGACGATTATCAGATAAAATTTGTTCAGGATTTTTCTTAATTATTGACAATGTACACATATCCTTCAAAAGCAACTGTTCAAACATATGACTTCAAAGGAGAATACCGCACACCCTTCATACGATACGATAATGCGTATCCATAACTTTCTTAATCATTAATTGTTAGTTAGATTTTTCTGAGCAATTATTTTTTATTTTTTTAATAGTTTAGAATAGTTAGAACGTAATATTTGTTTAAAACTTTTGTAATTTATTGAAAACATGCACATACCCTACAAATATCAGCTCAAACTTAAAATCTTTAAGAAGATTAAAATTTTTTATCACTAAGATCTTTTCATGAACTAATAAACTGTGAGATATTTTTTTTATCTTAATACAAAATTTCACTAAAAGTATTTAAATGGGTGAATTTATGTTGTACCCAATGATTTCCACGTGTCGGAACTGAATTGGATTGCATGGGCTCTTGCCCAATATCTTAACTAAGCAGACGCTTGTGAAGCTTTAGTAATTTAACAACGCTTCCTAGTGGTTCAGGGGACTTACTGGAACGATGTTCCATTCTAATGGAAAAAGAAATAGATTTGATCTTTTTATAAATGTTTTTAGTTTTTTTAATATAAATTTCATATAAAATAATAAAATAAATTTATTAAAATAATTAATACCGTCATTTAAATTTATAACTCTGCCATTGTTTACCAAACTAAATCACTCGTGCATTTTCAACTATGAAAACAGAATATAAACATTCAATTTAACCCAACTGAAGGAGCGATCAGATTCATAATAATAATAATAAAATATTGTTTTTACTAAATAACTCAGGTTCAAATACATACAAACATACATACATATATAAATATACGAAATTTTAAAATTAGATATAAATACTATTTTATAATCATATTAAAACATTTAAAAAATTCAACTCAACAACCACCAGGAAAATAATTTCAACAAAATAACAATAAAAATATTTAATGAATTTTCTATTAGACCTTAAATTTCAAAATATTCCCAAATATGCAATCATCAATTATCATTTCAAAGTAATTCGGTTCCATTCAAATTTGAAAGTAAATAACTAATTAGAATCAGTCATAATGTTCATTTTCTAATATAATAATAAATTTAATACTCCAAATTTATATATTTTGTCAATTTCATTTATTTTTTTAAAATATTTATAAATTTTATCAATATATATATAAAATAAAAATGAATAATAAAATTTTATGATATCTAATATAATTTAATGTTAAAATAAATAAATAATAATTTTAATAATGGAATGGAATAATTATTTTAATAATGGAATGGAATAATTATTTTTCCGATGTGTTATATGTGTAAAACGACGTCGAAGAGGCAAGTACAGCCAAAAGGGGGACAGATCCAACGGCGGGAAACTTGCTAAACCATGGAGCACTCTCTTCGTCTCTTCCTTTCGTGCGAACACTGAGTTGAGTGCAGTCGAGTCACCCTCTTTCCTTTCCACTCTGTTTCTCATACTTTCTTCCTCTACCTCATCGCCCTTCTGTCCTTTTTCGTCTTTTCACCTCTAGTCCCCATCCGACGTCTCCCATCTTTCCACGTCACCACCGTCATCTTCACCCTCCCTTCCCTTCATCCGTCTCTTTCTATTTGATTTTAACTCCCTATAGGGTTTCTCAGATTTAACCCAATTCTATGTCCTTTCTCCGCTCCTTAATTTTCTTCGATTAGGGAAAAAAACGAATAAATTTTCCAAATCCTCAATTCGTCGGCTCTGTCAATTTTCTTGGCAGAGATTCTTCATAGCCAGGTATTTTCTTTCCTCAATTTATTTTCATTCTTCTATATTTTATTTTATTTTATTTGTTTTTATGCTGTTATTTATTTATTTATTTCAAGTCTTGAGAATTTCTTTTATTTACTTGTTTCTGTTAGGGCTTTGATATTGGCGCTATATTCCTAAACGCTGAAAATATATATTTTTTATAAATATTTAGTTGAATTGAGGATTAGATTTTTGTTTGTTTATGTGGTGTTTTATATTATGATGGCGATTGAGAAGAATAACTTCAAGGTTTCACGGTTTGATTCGGAGTTTTAACCCCAATTCTATGTCCTTTATCCGCTCCTTAATTTTCTTCGATTAGGAAAAAAAACGAAGAAATTTTCCAAATCCTCAATTCGTCGGCTCTGTCAATTTTCTCGGCAGCGATTCTTCATAGCCAGGTATTTTCTTTCCTCAATTTAATTTCATTCTTCTATATTTATTTTATTTGTTTTTATGCTGTTATTTATTTATTTATTTATTTCAAGTCTTGAGAATTTCTTTTATTTACTTGTTTCTGTTAGGGCTTTGATGAATTGGCGCTATATTCCTAAACGCTGAAAACATAGTTTTTTATAAACATTTGGTTGAATTGAGGATTAGATTTTTGTTTGTTTATGTGGTGTTTTATATTATGATGGCGATTGAGAAGAATAACTTCAAGGTTTCACGGTTTGATTCGGAGTTTTCGCCTGGTAGTAGAGAGACGACCGTGTCAAGTGATGAAGATGAGCTTCAACGTCAAAGATCAGTTGTTGTTTCTGATGGTGAAGACGATGATGGTGGATTTGATGATGCTGATTCAGGAGCAGGTTCGGACGACTATGATTTATTGGAATTAGGTGAAACAGGGGCTGAATTCTGCCAAGTTGGGAACTCTACTTGTTCCATGCCTTTCGAGTTGTACGACCTTCCTGGATTGGAAGATATTTTATCACTTGATGTGTGGAATGAGTGTTTAAGCGATGAGGAGAGATTTAGCCTTACTAAGTTTTTACCCGACATGGAGCAGGATACATTTATGTGGACATTGAATGACCTTCTTAAGGGTTATAATTTTCATTTTGGAAGTCCTATTAAGAAGTTATTTGATATGTTGAAAGGAGGGTTGTGTGAGCCAAAGGTTGCACTTTATCGAGAGGGTTTGAATTTCTTTCAGAAGCGGCATCGTTACCATCATTTGAGGAAACATCAGAATAATATGGTTGTCAATCTTTGTCAAATAAGGGACGCTTGGGTTAATTGTAGGGGATATAGTATTGAGGAGAGGCTTCGTGTTTTGAATATTATGAGAAGTCAAAAGAGTTTGGTGCATGAGAAATTGGAAGACGAGGATTCTGAATCCTCCAAAAGAGAGGATTTGGGTGATGGATTGTGGAGCAAAAAGGTTAAGGATCGAAAGGCTTCGCAGCAAATGACACGGTACTTTGATTATGAAGTTGAACCGAATTTAGAATTCATTTCCCAAGGACAGCTGATGGCTTTGGAACCTGCAAAATATGGGAAGCTGAATCCAAAAGGTAAACTTAAAACAGGTGGGTCAAAATTTTCTTCTGCAAAAGAGTTTGGGAGCTGCTTTTACCCTGGTTTGGATATGAATTCTGAGCCATATGATTTTTCAGGAACTCTTCCTCGACAGAAATATAAGTCGGGGTCAGTACACAGGCATAGGATGGATGAGGCTGGATGATGAAACTGAAGACCCAATGTTCGGAACAGGTATTCAACGAGACCGAAATGTTGTGTGTGACAGAATAGTGGGCAAATCTGGTTCATTGAGAGCAGGGAAAAAGTATGACCATTTAAGAGTGGAAGAATTAGCTAGTGATAGTTCCTTGGCTTTTCCTTTTTCTTCAAAG